AGGATCACCGTCTGAATTGGGATACTGTGCCAAAACTATCTGGGCTCCATGAAAAACTCATGGAATAAACATACTAAAGAGGGGCCAGCACTTCAGCTATCGCTAGTCGGCGGGGTTCTGTGTAAGCCAAACTGACGATCTGCTCTTCCTTGGTGCCTCTATTAGATATGCAAGAAAATGAACAATGCCAGCAAATGTACATGCAGTTTAGCGATGAATTGGTGCATCTTTGTATTGTTTTGATTTTGCTGCTTTCTACTGCTGGGAAATTATGCAAATGTTTCTCGTCCAGGGGAAGAATACTGATAATTAAGAAATGTGCAGCTTGGATTTAGGATAATCTCATAAATCCACACTAGTGTTCTCGTGCAGTAGCACTTTAATAGCTGTGGAAACTGCTATGTGATAGCAAGGACCAGATTCTCAGCACTCCAGAAGGTCACACTGTGAGTTTCTTGCTGGGCATTTTAGATAGAAATGGGGTGCTTGCATGAGAAGAACAAACCAACAGAAAGAGAGGGCAGAACTATAGCACACAAGGCCCTGGCCAGCTTTCAGACCAAGTTCTTCAGGTGTAGATAAACCACCTCATCTCTTTAGGGGAAGAGAAGGAGGCTACGTGGCTCTGCTGCTGTGCCAACTTGGAGCAGAGATGTCACCTTCTTGTCTTCAGGGGTCAGGCACTGACTGGCAGGAATAGCAAACAAACTTTTTTTGTTTGTAACCTGATAACAGAGACTGTCCTTGAAGGATGTTTGTACTCTCAGCCATGAAGGACAGTTGGGTTCTCAGTTTGAGTTCTTATTGCAGTGTCCCACGTGGGTGCACAGTCCCAGTTCCCCAGCCCTCTCAGTACTGGGTACTGGAACAGGACACCTAGATGAGCTTGTGGTCCACAGGGAGCCAAGGGCAATGGGGACCTCAACTTCGGTTGCTTGAGTCTAGAGGCAACCACTTTAATTCACAGATACTGGAATTTCTGTCAAGGGAAGGGGGAAAAACAGTAAGTTGCTTGCTATGTGGAAGAAAAGAAAGATTTCTTGACCAGGCTTCAGTTCCAGCATTTCAAGGGCAGACAGTTGGGGTCAGGTCGTCAGTGGATTTCCTTCTCCCTGCGCTGTGCTGCCAAAAGAGCCCAGCTGTGCTGGTGTGCAGCTCTTCCAAAAACCCAGGTGTTGATGAAGGCTGAAAATCTAGCCCTGGTTGTGGAAGTGGAGTAGGTCAATGCTTGGCCCGAGTTATAATTAGCACAAGGGTAGGTTATTTTCAACTACAGCAGACAGTCTCATTAGCATAGTCTCCATACAATTTATTGAAAACTGCAAGAAGCTCAACCAGGGAGTCACATTAGCAGAATGAAAATTAACCTGGGAACCTCCACAAAAAACTTTACCTTGACTTTCTGCTATATATTTTTTTTTGCTTGATACCGTCCTGGCACTGAGCAGTTTAATTCTCTTCTGGGCACAATTGTCAACCCAGTTTCCAGGAGGGACACATGCCCCAGGATTTATTTTATTCCATTTAAGTAACTATGACCAGTTTTCATAAATTGAGGAGTGGAAATTGCCCGTTCCCTAAGGCGCTCTAACAAATGAGATCAGAAGTCCAATGAATACATGTCTTGCAAAGCTTTTCAGTTCAATTACGTGTATCCATGTGCAACTGGTAACGCCACAATCAGTTCAAATAGTATCTTTGCAAGTGTGAAAGACTGCAAATTAAAGTCTATTTCACATCAGTATCCAACATGTTACTGGAAAGATTAAAAGGAAAATTTTCTAGGGACAAAGGATGAACAATTAATGAGGCCTGGGGTGACTCTGAAACAGGTAGCAAAGAAAAAACAACTGTAAAAGGAGACAGCATCAGAAGTGAGCAGTTTGGTGCCAAGTTGCAGAAAGAGATTAGTGGAGAGTCTCACTAGATCCATTAGTGTTTGTGAAGTACTCATGGAGTAGATCAATGAGCATCACAGAAACTCCCAGGAGGAAGTGAATTAAAAGCTTTTTCTTTTTCCTTTTTTTTTCTTTTTTTTTTTTTCCTTATGGTGGGAAGCAAATAAAGCAGAGCTTGCACACTGGCTGATGAGACTAAAACAAGGCATCGGATGGGCATTTGGTTAGGGAACACTGCCTGTCTCTATGTCAGTTAGGTTAAGATCAAGTGGAAAAGTAAGTGGCCACGTTAAAATTTGTGACAACTGCCAACAGAGGTCAAGTCATTGTTTTTAAGCAAACTGAAGTCAGTATATTTTTAGCTTTAGGTTTTTTTTCTTAGAATCTTAGCATTTGGTGGGGGGTGGCTATTTGTATACAGGCAGTAAACTGTGACTTGGTTTTAGTGGCAGCAGTAAGAAGGTACTAAAATCCTGAGAGCCACCTTAAAAACACAGCACCAGATCTTCAAATGATTACGCCAGTGCAGCACCACTGAAGCTTCTCGAGTGCTATTGATTTACACCAGTGGAACATCTGGCCCATATGCTTTGTATTATTAAATACTTCTGCGATTATTATGTGAACAATTAAGATTTGTGGAAATGAAAAAACGGGTTATGAATTGTGCCTTCACTGCAGTTCAGGAGGAAGAATTGCTCAGGCAAACTGCTGCCTTTTAGTGTAGCTTGCAGTTTATCTGTGTGTTTTTTCTAGAAACCAGAAAGTGTGATGGGAGCCCAGGAGATTTTCCAGGCCGTCTTCTTCTAGGGAAGGATCAGCTTCAGCACTGTCATGTTTGCCCACCTTGTTCTTTAAACTCTGATATCCCACAGCGTATCCCAACTGCCAGTTCTGGTACAGGAAGCTTTTTCCCCATCCTAGCCTACCTCTGTTCCAGGCTGCTCTTCAGATCTCCAACTTATTATCCTATCCACCAATGCCATATGGAAGAATGTGATCTCTTCCTCTGCCTAGCAGCCTTTCTTCATACAGAAAGCTTGTTATTGTGTCTCTTCTGTGTAATGTTCATTCAGTCTGGTCAGCCGTGTTGGAATTCAATGCTGACAAAGTCCAGACAAGCCCAAGTAAATGTTAACACTCCAAATTCTTTATTATTTTTTTCTTTCCTTAAACCTGATTCCCTTTCATGGTTTGCTGCTGATGTATAGAAGTATATCTAGCCATAAGAGAAAAAGACACATCTTTCAGCATCAGGAGATGAAAGGAATACAGTGAGATAACGTTTTGCAAACCTGAAAGGATTTGAAAAACCCTCTCCTATTTCTGGAAAAAAGAAGTCAATGACAGGGCAAGATTATCTTCATTAATAGTGTGAGAAGGAGTGTTGGCTGCAAGTTTTGTTTAACCTGAAAAGCAGCATTCAACAGCTGGGTTTCCAGATCTAAAATAATATCTGGGGAATCAAAAATTCATTGCCACATGTAAAATTGTCTCCTGGTTGTGTGTAATGGTGCTCACCAGTATAATGTGCAGGAGAGAAGGATAACCTTTAACATCTCCACCATCCCCAGAGCCTGATGTGCTGCTGATTAACAGGTGCTTGGTGACTTGAAGTTCCTGAAGCTAAAGCTTTGCATGTGTTGCACAAGTCACCATTTTTACTGAGGGCCGGGGAGAGATGTGTTTTGGCTTTTATCCCACTTTTCAGACATGGCATGATGTTACTCAGTGCTCTGAAGGGAAAGCAGCCGCTCCAACAGAGCAAGTGAGCTAATGTGGTGTGGGGGGACTGCTCTGCAGGGCCTGACCCTCCACATCCTGGCTCTGGTGGAGGTTGTGAGCACCTTCTTCAGGCAGCCCGAAATGCAGCAGCTATTTGAGGGGTTTCAGTGCACATTAGAGCTTGGCTAAACCTCAGCAGCATGAAGCATGAGCAGGCATGCCCTTCCCAAAACACCTCTCGCTTTTTTGATATTCGGCATGTCTGGAGGGGAAGGGTTGAGGTTTTTGTTTTTATTGATTCCACCCAGGCTTCAACTTCTGCATAGAAAATGTATGGAGGGGCTCGTACAAAACTTGCCTCCTATGAAGTCTTGTGTGGGGTGAGGTGAGCAGGGCAGTGCCTTTGAAGTAAGGTTCCCAGAAGAGGTCTCTCTGCATTTGAAAAATAACCTAGCCAAGTAGCTCCAGTGTAGATCCATTTGGCTGAGCTGACTGCAGCCAAGCCTGCAGACTTCGTTCTTCAGTCCGCTGAGTGCCATAAAGACTTGTGAGCAAATGGATGGGCTCGGTGTGCAAGCCACAGTTGCTTTGTCCAAACTGAGGTCTCAAGCAGTATTGGCTTATGTGAAAAACATACATTTATATGCTAAAGACAAGGCTGCATGTAATTCAGTGAACTAAAGCAACGTGGTTCGGTGGCAAAATCAGGAAAAGGACCCAGAAACTGGATGGTATTGCTGGGGACACCCCTCACAAAGATTGGGCAGATCATCACATGAGGCTGTGAAAGGTTTTTTTTTTGTGTGTGCCTTTGGATTAGGCAGGTCTTTCTGGAGGAGGTTCATTTCTATGTCTTTGAAGTCAGGCAGCTGTTGCCTGCTCTCCTCTTGAAAACATCCAACACTTGGTTGCTCACTACGCCTCTCTGCCACGGGAGCTGTGGAGAGCTGGGACTGTGTGCAGGAAGAAGGTCTAATTAACAAAATCTACACTCCAAGAATTTGCTATTTTCAGGGCACTTCTTCTCCACCTGCCAACTGTGCTAATGTTAGCAGTGCATAGCAAAAGGAGTTTTTAAACAAGTGCTGAAGAAAAACCAATCTCTGTCCCTGAACAAAATGCCACCAGCTCCCAAAAGACTTGTATGAAAGACTGATTGCCCTGTAGCTGTCACTTCTTCATGCTCTTTGGCAGTCTGCTTATTATTTTTGAATATTTTACCTCTCTGTTGGTTTTTCTGGCAAAGTCTCTCCTGTACAAGCAAAAAATAAGGGTCCTACCATGGCTGCCTTTAATTCTTGATATAAATAGGATAGCTAAGACTTCTACTATAATAAAAATAATAATAATAATCTGTATTTTATATGTGTTCTGTAGGAAAGTAAGGTGATGGTAGACTGCCTGAGCCCTTGAATCCAGTTCCCTGAACTTCAAGGCCCCTGTGTGGGAGGTGTCCAGCCAAGGAGGGCCTCCAGACGCGCGTTGTCCAGCTTGTACCAATGTCATTGGTACAAGCTTCCTGACGACGTGGTACATTGCAGAAGGAAGTTGTCATTGTCCTCACATTGTACCCTGGTAAGGTGAACAGATGCAAGCTGGCAACTTTTCCAAAGCCCTATAATGAAGCAATAGAGAAGTAAAAATATTCAAAAATAATCAGAGGCAGAGTAAGGGTTGCACCACAGTCCCCTTCCCTTCCCTTCCCTTCCCTTCCCTTCCCTTCCCTTCCCTTCCCTTCCTTCCCTTCCCTTCCCTTCCCTTCCCTTCCCTTCCCTTCCCTTCCCTTCCCTTCCCTTCCTTCCCTTCCCTTCCCTTCCCTTCCCTTCCCTTCCCTTCCCTTCCCTTCCCTTCCCTTCCTTCCCTTCCCTTCCCTTCCCTTCCCTTCCCTTCCCTTCCCTTCCCTTCCCTTCCCTTCCCTTCCCTTCCCTTCCCTTCCCTTCCCTTCCCTTCCCTTCCCTTCCGTCACTCACATTCAAATCAGTGACATTTCATGTGCGAAGGGCAAATAAATACACAAAAATTATTTGGAGATGGAAGTTCAGAGAGGTGTGGAGAAGGAAGGATTTGGTGAGTGAAGGTTTTGTGAAGAGAATCACTGGATGAGATTGCTTGACAGAATTATACTTCATTACTGACGCTTCACAGCCTTGATTTTCATATTTATTTGTGACTCTTCTTTTTTAAACCATGGGCTCTTTTGACATGAGAGTCATGCTGTGTAAAGCGCTATTGATTAGAGTTTCTAATTTCATGCCATTACAGCATGACCATTGGGGAATGAAATGTATTTTATTTTTTCCACTACGGCTATGCCAGCAGTGTTTGGGATGCAGCCATCACGCGGGCTGTCAGCAGCAGGCATTTCCAGCTAAAGATCTTTGCTGTTTCAGCCAAAAGGCGAATGTGCCCGAGGTCTAAGCCTCAGCTCAGTGTGTTGTTCCTGGAATTAGAATAGATCTGTGGTAAAGTGCATTCTGAGGCCAGAGGTTTCCAGAAGGATGGCTGATTTGGGGACTTTATGTTTTTCATTCAGACTTGCAAAAGACCATTTTTTCCCCTTCCAGAGGAATGGTTGGCATCTGCAGCAATACCTGCTCTCTTTCCAGTGTCTCTGGTTTGGTGCTCAAGGAAGTGGAGGGACCTAATTTCACTAAAGGCTTAGGAAAATCCTAGTCTGCTATGATCAGGTAATTTACATTTATCCCTGTTATGTACAAAGGCCAAGAAATACTGATTGTAAACCTCAGGAAGACCTGTCCCAGCCTCTCTATAAAGAGTTTTTTTTCCTCTCACCTACTGGATTTGGGCCTTTCTGGTGTTTCCCAAGGAGAGGGTTCATGGTGAGACCAGGGAGGCTGTGAATTAATAGTATTTTGCTCTCTTGGAGCTGCCTGGGGGAATCCTCTCCTTCCCTCTTCCTCCCAGTATCCTCCAGCCCCTCATTTTTCAATATGGCCCAAAACAATCTGTAAGAGGATTCCTCTAGTGTCTTGCAAGAAATTACCACCTCTTTTTCTGTGTAACAAAGGCTTGTGCTATCCTGAGGTAAAGACATCAGGAAGATAAAGTCAGCCTAAGTCTGCTGCTGAGCTTGACTCTAATGAGTTTCCCTCACGGTATAACTAACGTGGCTTGTCTTACACTCTGGTTTTACCTCTGAACAGTAGATATGCACTAGCTGTCCTGAACTAATAAAGCTTTCCAGCAGTGAAGACAAGCTCTAACGGAGCGGCGATAGACGTGTGAACCCCTTACAAATAGCCAGATGAGAGAAAAGTGAATGCTTGAAATCTGTCAAAGGGGAACCAGCCGAGAAAGTTCTCCGACTCCTGCTTTATTCCAGGAGCTACTGACACCCGCCGGCAGGTGATGAATTAGTGCAGCACAGTTGGAGCTACTCAAGGGCTGCAGATGTGAATCCTGGAGCTGTTCCTACGTCTATTTGAGAACTGGAGGTATTGTGGCCAATTTGGGGCTTCCCATACAAAAAGATGTCAACATACTAGAGTAAGGCTGAGAAAAATGTTTTTTTCAGGAGACAAATTGGACATCTGATTGCTGTCCATGACTCTTAGGAGGGGGATGTGCAGAAGACAGAGACAGACTGACCTCAGAGATGCGTAGGTAAGAAGCAACACACACAAACTGCAGCATGGGAAATCCTGACTAGCTATGGTGAAAATGTGTCCACCTTGAGGATGGTCAGATGCCAGACCAGGGGCCTAGAAAGGCTGCAAGATCTCCAGTCCTGGAGATGTTCACAACTCAGCCAGACAAGGAAACAAGGAAAGCTGGGCCTGCTTGGGCTGGAGGCCATGCTTTTAACTGTGGTTGGTGTGACCTGGGTGTGACACTGGGGATGACACTATTCAAGCCTTCCAAGTCCAATCCAGCCCCAGTTAAATCTGCCAGGTGAGTCTACCTACTTTTAAATGACACTGGTCTCAATCAGCATTGCAGGATGTGTCTTGCTGCTACTCTCCTTACTTAGGGGCAGTTACAGGCACAACCCTTCATAATAGGATGCAGCAGTGGCGCTCTCCTTGAAAGGCCCTTCCCAAAGCCAGCAGGAAAGGAGACAACACTGCCACAATGCATGAACCTGGAGGAACTGGCAGTGACATCTCTCTCTGCCACGACTGCACGTTCAGATGCAGTGAGATTTTCAGTCTCCCTTGCCTGCACAGGGCTGATGAGCCAGCCCTGCTCTGAGCACAGGGCACAGCAGCCCCTGGGAATTCCTGCAGGACGGGAGGTTCACTTTGGTGCTGTGCCGGTCTTTTCGTTTTAGCAAAAGGAAAAGCAACTACACAAAGCCATGTGCCTTCGTGTAGTGAGCAAAAGGATTTTTGGCCTCAGCTGGAGCACAGCCCAATGTGTGACATTCTCAGAAGCTGAATGGAAAGGGACTCCACTCGTGGCATCATCACTTCCCACGTACGTCCCCTCTCTGGTTCCCACTGTGACACAGAGGCTTCAAACAAGAGCTGTCTGTCTCCTGCACAGCTGTACCCTTCACCTGTACACGTCAGATCAGTACTGCTGGAGATAACGGTGAGAGATGCCATCACTCACAGTCAATTACTGGCCACCACCTGGTGCCAGGCTCCCCTGAGGAGTCCTCTTCAGTGCCCAAGAAACTCCAGGAGGAGAGCGATCGGTCCCTTCCCCTGCGCTTGACTTCCAGTGTAACACAATCCCAGGACTCTCCATACCTACCTGTGCCTGCAGAGTCCTTTGGGCTTTTTCAGGCTTGCTGACATTTATATACATTTCTAAATATCACTGAAGTATTGCTGAGAGAGGGAAACGTGGAGTGAATGACATGGACTTGTGAGCAGCAATGGGAAAAAGGTAGTTGAAAGCTTGATTGTAGTAACCGTGCCAATACCCCCCGAGAAACAAAGCCTCCTGCAGGCACAGTGCCTTTTCCAAGAGATGAAATGAACTTCTTTAGGTTTAGCCCTAAGTAAACGATGGTCCAGCTCATAAAACATCCTGAAGTGCAGAACTGTTTACAGACTTTATTTGTCTTGAGCCTTGCGCTTTGTAAGATCAGAGGCGATTTCATTACCCAACTTTGTGCAATGTCATTCCGGCTGGATCACAAATGCCATGTGAGTGTTTACAGTAATGAGGAAATACATTACAGCCGGAAAGGATGGCTGCAGTTTAATAGAAATATTCTTCTAGAACAGATAAGGGCCAATCCCAAGGATGGGCTCTTCCTTGCTGCTTTTTACTCTGATTTCTGCATTCCACTTAGCTGCAGCTGAATGAGAGGACCTCTCCTGGCCCTGACTCCCTTTGTGGAGACAGGGCAAAGCAGAAGGGGCAGGACGGAGCCTTCCCTCTCCTGTAAGGGGGCATCAGTTTTGGGGAGCTAAATTATTGCCACTGCTGCACTGTGGATGGTGGAGCAGCGGCGAGGCACAGCCAGCCAGCTTGGATTTCACATAAAATGGAGCTTGGTCAGCTTCCAGGACTGGAATTCAGCTTTTTATTTTCCAAGAAAGGATGCAAGCAATTTGTCTTTAGGATGCTATAAAGACGCCTTCAAGAATATCATATAGTCTGCTAATGCTGCAGAGAACCTCTTAAAAACTTAATTGCCTGTGTCACCAAATGAGAAGAGAGTAGTCCCTTGAAAGATCCTGTGTTTTGAAAACACACAGTCAGTTCTAAATACTTTCAAATGGTACATGCTTCTTTACTCCTGCTGACAATAAGAGTAATTGCTGAGCACAGGATAAAGGAGATTGTCTGAAATGTTTCAGCACAATTTTCTTGTTCCTTTTTTTTTTTTCACAATGCAAAAAGACAGAGGCATTCTTGGTTTGTGACCAAACAAACAGAGGGGTTTTCTTCTGGTGCCAAGAGGCAGGCAAGACATAGAGATCTCAATAACAAAGTGACTCTCTTCATTTGAGAGCTCCTCAGCTCCCATCCCTGGTTCCCTTTGTCCTTTCTTCACCAGATATTCCAAACCCTGTGATGTTTTAGAATCATAGAATCATAGAATCATAGAATATCCTGAGTTGGAAGGGACCCTTAAGGATCATCAAGTCCAACTCTTGACACCGCACAGGTCTACCCAAGTTCAGACCATGTGACTAAGTGCACAGTCCAATCTCTTCTTAAATTCAGTCAGGCTCGGTGCAGTGACCACTTCCCTGGGGAGCCTGTTCCAGTGTGCAACCACTCTCTCTGTGAAGAACCCCTTCCTGATGTCCAGCCTAAACTTCCCCTGCCTCAGCTTAACTCCATTCCCGCGGGTCCTGTCGCTGGTGTTAATGGAGAAAAGGTCTCCTGCCTCTCGACACCCCCTTACGAGGAAGTTGTAGACTGCGATGAGGTCTCCCCTCAGCCTCCTCTTCTCCAGGCTGAACAGGCCCAGTGCCCTCAGCCGTTCCTCGTACGTCTTCCCCTCCAGGCCTTTCACCATCTTCGTAGCCCTCCTCTGGACACTCTCCAACAGTTTCATGTCCTTTTTATACTGTGGTGCCCAGAACTGCACACAGTACTCGAGGTGAGGCCGCACCAGCGCAGAGTAGAGCGGGACAATCACCTCCCTCGACCTACTAGCGATGCCGTGCTTGATGCACCCCAGGACACGGTTGGCCCTCCTGGCTGCCAGGGCACACTGCTGGCTCATATTGAACTTGCTGTCTACCACGACCCCCAGATCCCTCTCTTCTAGGCTGCTCTCCAGCGTCTCATCGCCCAGTCTGTACGTGCAGCCAGGGTTTCCCCGTCCCAGGTGCAGGACCCGGCACTTGCTCTTATTGAACTTCATGCGGTTGGCGATCGCCCAGCTCTCCAACCTATCCAGATCCCTCTGCAAGGCCTTTCCACCCTCATTCGAGTCCACAACTCCTCCAAGTTTGGTGTCATCAGCAAACTTGCTCAAAATGCCTTCTATTCCTACATCCAGATCGTTTATAAAAATATTGAAAAGTACCGGCCCTAAAATGGAGCCTTGAGGGACCCCACTGGTGACCGCCCGCCAGCCTGACGCAGCCCCATTTACCATAACCCTTTGGGCCCTGCCCGTTAGCCAATTGCTCACCCATCGTATGATGTTTTTATTTAGCTGTATGCTGGACATTTTGTCCAGTAGGATCCTATGGGAAACCATGTCAAAAGCCTTGCTGAAGTCCAAAAAAATCACATCAGCTGGTTTCCCTTGGTCCACCATACGGGTGATCTTATCATAAAAGGAAATCAGGTTAGTTAGGCAGGACCTACCCTTCACAAACCCATGCTGGCTGGGACCAATGACTGCATTGTCCCCCAGGTGCGCCTCAATACGTTCGAGAACCATCTTCTCCATGATTTTACCAGGCACTGATGTGAGACTGACAGGCCTGTAATTGCTAGGGTCTTCTTTCTGACCCTTCTTGAAAATCGGCACAACATTTGCCAGCTATCTTGCTTAGCTGGCAAATGCTAGCTAGCCTCTAGCTAGCTTTTAGGGATCACTGAAAGGCAGATGGACAAACCCAGTTAATCACAGTTACACCCTGTTGTATCAGTGCAGGGCAGGGGCACCTGAAGGTCCTGGAGACGCCAGGGCTGCTTGGTGCTCGCACCACGTCTGGGCACGGAGAGCCAGGTTAGAAGGACCAAACCCTGAGTGTTGAGATGAACAATGTGAGTAAAGCCCAGAGCAGTGACAGAGGTGGCACTCTGAAATCCAGGCCCCATTTCCACCAGAGCACACTGCCTTTTAAAAGGAGAAAAAGCATTTTTGAAGCCTGCTACCCAGACTTCAAAGAAAACAGGCTCTGTCAAGGATGACTTCCAGAGAAGAGAGGCCAGGAAATAGTGTCTGGAGCCAGGGTGGTTTTGGCTGAGCAGTGCCTTCCAGTTTTGGTCCCCTGTATGCGTGCTAGACTCAGCCTCAGCATTCCTGCTATGAGTCTGCTGCCCACCAGGATGACAGAGTGGGAGGTTTCCTCCCATCACTTACTCACTGCGCTGACTCACTGAAGTGTCTTAATTCTGAGATACAGGAGACCCTGAGCCCCTCAGTTTGCTCACTCACTTCTGCCTTTTATTTTGGCTGTAAGGTTTAGCACACAGCATTCCATTGTGTCGGCCTGGTCCCAGCTGACTGTCGTTGTGCTTGGCCATTAAGGACTCGTTCAGCTCTCTGCACTTCCCTGTGTGGCCCATGGTGCAGCACAGTACATTGGAAAGCAGTAGCCACTGCAACATGACGTGGCACCTGAAAACTCAAAGGAGACACAGGCTTATGCTGACTGTACAACTGTATGGTTGGTATTCTTCCTTTACACCTGCTCTGAAAGCAGGAAAAAACAGGTATGATCTATAGATTTTCTTTCTTTTTTTTTTTAATGCAATGGTTCGTTGTTTTTTGTTGTTTTTTGTTTGTTTTTTTTTTGGGGGGGTGGCAAGTAGATATACAGAGCACAGCAGATGTCTCAGACATTCAAGAGACATTTCTTCTTGGTCCTCAGATGAAATGGACTGGGCTTTGCTCCAGAAAACAGGAACGATTAATCCATCATTGAACATGAACTTAAATGAGCTAATATTGGGTATTTTAGTTCTGATGTATGTGCTAAATGAAGTAATCATTCAGAGGATAAAAGTAATGGTTTTGAGAAAATGTTCTAAAACGCAGTGGCTGAGGCAGGTGGGGTGAAAAGCTCCCAGCTGGTGCAGGCACCGACGTCGCTGTCACTCCTGTGCGTGGGAGCAGCAGGAGGAGGAGTGCTCCAGGACTGGGTATCCTCTAAGCACAGGAAAGGTAAATGCTGCGTAGCCCAGACCATCTGTGGTGTAATTTCAGTGTCTTGACACGCACCGCCTGCTCTGGCCCCAGGTCAGCTTGCTGCCTCGGTGGCTTTATGCTGAAGATGCCTCAACGTTGTGCTTTGGCTGCCAGGGTGAGTCTTTCCTCACGTTATCTGCCATCCTAGATGCGCTGCTCTGCAAGTGCCATTAACCACAATTACACCCTTAAGCAAGAGACAGCAATTGATATTTTATCATTGGGATTTTTTGCCGTGACTTTTGTACCCACCTGGAGTGAACAAACTATTACAAGTTTCATCCAATTATGTTAAGTGCAGTTGGACATACTGTGCCTAACACAATCTCTTTTCAGTGGAGAGAGGGGCAGTCCGTTATCAGCTCGAGGCACCATCATTCATTAAGACATCATTTGCCTCTCACCAGCAGAGCCGAAGCAGCAAATCTATAGGATGTCATAATAAGGTGTGATAATGAAAGATAGGCAGAACAGGATTAACAAAGGGGTCCTCTCCACATTATACCTTCCTCTTACTACTTTGCTCAGTCCCAGTCTTTTATGATCTCCTGAGGGAACGTTTCAAAGGGGTGCGTGGAAGTTAGGCCCACAAATCCAATTAATTGCTGATGTGGTTTGTGCCTGGAATCACCATGCACCACTTAAAAAAAAAAAGCTGCCTGAGTGCAGCAGACTATAGAAAGGAAAATATTGGGCATACAGTACTGTAAATAAGCTCTCATCCATCCCTGCCTGTTGTTCTTGCCCTGGGCTAGGAAAGTCTTTGACAGCTCATTCAGCACCTTTGCTCTCATGCTCCAGTTGGTCACATCACACCCATCCCTGCCCCTCTGAACCAGCCCAGTTGGGATCTCACTTCTACTGGAGTGACTGGTCGATGTACCAGAGCCTGCTTGGTTCCTGGTCACAGCTCCCCAGCTGCAGGCAGGCAGGGCTCTCAGAGGGCACCCTTCCTGGAGTGAGTGCTGGGCAGGAGGAGTCGGTGCCTTGCGTTTTGTCCATGTCCAGGGCAGACCTCTCACCTTCCAGCCCCTTCATCACTGCGCTGAGGATGGGCAGCTCAAAGCTCTTCCAAGCGTAAAGAGAAGATGCTTCGGAGTTTGTTGGTTCTGCAATGTGCATACAAATACAGATCTTTCAGGGAGAGGAGAGGAGGACATGCTTTTACCAACAGTTGCACATAGGTGCCTTTATGCCAGTGTGTAATTCTAGTAAATGTGCTGTGACTGGGATGCAGACACAGTGATGCTGGCAGTGAAGATGCTTTTGTTAGCATCAGGTTATTCACGCATGGGGCTAAACCAGAGTTGTTCTTGAAACCAGGGCATGGAGCTGGACTCCAGAAGACCCGTAAGCCTTTTGTGAGGCATCAGAAGAGCCACCAGTGGCAGAAGTGCCAGAAGCCAGGCTTCAGAAGTCCCATCACTCATGGAAGTCAGGGTCTGGGCACACACTGACTGTGTTTCTGCCAGCACTGTCCACATACTTCTGCCTGCAGTAAAGCTCTTGGTGGTATAGAAATGTCATAAAAACTCACGTCCTAAACCACTTCACTATGACCTGGCCATAGCCTGTCCCACGAGTTACTTGCAGGGGATGATGGCCAAGACCCCCAGTCCTGGAGGAGGCTGTGGTGCTGGGGGAGGGCTGAACCAGTTCTCTCCTTGCCTAGTCAAATCCAGCTCCAAACCTGACAGCAGGGAAACTGGGAGGGAAGGGTCCCATTTCTGTAGTGCCTTTGGTCTGGACACTGTGGGCCCACCCAGACAGGAGGACAGCAGGACGGACAGACAGACTTCAGCCAGGTGCTGCTTCGCCTCGCCAGCTCGGCAGCAGCCTGGGTGAGCGTGAAGCACGGCACATTTTGTGTGCTAATAGGCAAGGGCCTGCGTGCTAATGTGCTTGAACATATGTGGTAATAACATTAATTTACAACTTTTTAAAATTATTAGCAATGCAGGTTTCTTGCCTGCCTTGTGTGTGTGTGGTACATAAATACGTGCATTATTTTTAGCATATTCCTTGCAATTCCATCTTCCCGAGGAGCAGCCACTACCTGTGGCACTAGGGACTGAAAATGCAGCTAAGAATCAGCTTGTCCAATAAATCACCTGCACAATCCTACACAATCCATCCCTGGAGAGAACGAACCAGGTGCCCGAATGCATGGGGGAATCTTATTTCTATCTATATTCTGTACTGTTATGGCTTTTATCCAATTATCAGGCTTTTTACCACCTGTAATGCGTTCCTATTCACAGCACTACAGTCAATTGCCCAAAAGGTAATTGCTGTGGGTGAGGGATGCAGTGACACGACTGAGGTCACCCCAAACCTGTGTCAGAGAAAGGAACCGAGACTGGGGCTCTCACAGCAGGGACTGAGCATTAAGCATAGGCTCTGGATGCAATTCAAAAAAAAGAATTTAATGGCTGAAAAAGGTCCCATGGTAAGTCCTGTCCTTCAGGTGCCAATGAGAACAGCAGGTCAGCAGAAGACACCTTTGGTATTTTCCCTTCTCGGGGCACCTTTGCAGTTTACAGGGAGCAGCACAGCTGGAGCAGATGGGCAGCGGACTCCTTCATTTGCCTTTGGATGCCCACCCTTGTGGTGATGCAGGTATCAGTCCAGCTGTGCAAATTTGAATTTTCTTTTTACCATTAGCATTTTCCAGTGACTTTTTTCCGTTTCCAGAGCAGTTCAGACTGCCATGGCCAGTGGCTCTGTTGTGGTCAGTAAGTGAATTAGAGAGATGACACAGGACTGGCATGGCCAGGGCACTTCCACCAGCACAGCAACAACCAGAAACTTTAGGGCTGCATCCCCAGAGAGTACTTCAGGCTGCTGAGATTCAACAGATCTGTGTACCAAGGCAGATGCTTAAGTACACATTTCCATAAAGAAATTCTTCTCAAAAATCCCAAACTGAGCTTGAGCCAAAAGCACAGGAGATGATCCTGCTGCAAACACTGTTAGAAGAAAGTCTCTTTGGCCAAAATTTCTCATGCTGTTTTTCTGCACTCCAGTAAACCTGGCTGCTGTCTCCATCCTGGAGATGACTTCATTTCACTAGATTTCTCATTCCAGGCTCTCTCTGCTTCAAAAGCAATTGTTTGTGCTGCAGTTGGAAAATGTGTATCATCACAGTTGCCTTTTTTCCACTGCAGAGTAATTAATCGATATTTCTCATGGAGGGCAGTCAATTCTCATTACACTGGGGTTTCACAAAGTTGCTTTTTTTTTTTCTTTCTCCACAGAAGGGATGTGGTATATCCAAGAGGTGCTTTGTGTCTGTGCTTCGTGTTCTGGCTCAGTTTGGGCTGCACCAGGGCGAAGGCAGCATAGCAAATTCCACGTTGCAAGAGGCAGACGGAGTTTCAGAACTCTACGCTGGTGGAAAGGAGGTTTTCCTGCAAACTCCGTGCCATCAGCTGGGTGCCTGCAACATGGTGCCAAGGGACAGGGAAGGTGGAAGGCAGAGCAGAGGTCAGAAGCCGCTAGCCTTTTGCTCGCACAAGATCAAGAAGCAGGGTAGGATGGTACCTTCATCCCAGTGCGCAGTGGCCAAGGATGAGCAACCCATCAGTGCTCCCAGCAGACCTGCACAGGCAGAGCCTGCCCCTGCCTGTGCACCATCAGCCCTTATCTAAGAAGCTGAGGGGTAGGAAGGTGCAGCATGCAGCTCCTGTGCGCTTGCAGAGCATGAGAACCAACTGCTGGACGGCACTAACAAAACTGTATTTGAGCCTGCCATCAGGCTTGTGAGTTCCTTCCTGACTCCATGCATTTTACTTTACAATATAGCACTGGAAGTCATTATTATTACAAAGAACCACTAATTCAATAACACCGCTATCCTGCTTGAATAACACCCATACAATATTAATGCATTTCCCCCATCATGTTCATTGCAGAACACAAAAGCTGTTAACAGAACGCGAGGAGCCCCAGCGCGAGGGGGGCGTGAATGCGACAGTCACTGTTAGCCATGCATTGCTAGCGCCTGAATTCAAGCTCTGGAAATTACGATTGCAAAGCACATTTTTGGATGCCATTCATAAAAAAAAAAAATGGCTAAAAGTTAAAACTTCAAATAGAAGTAGGAGAGCTGCCTGGCATTACACGATAACGTGGCACTTTATTATCCCTCTTCAATTGTTTGACGTTTATGCCTCTGTTTAGCAAGTCTGTTCGTTATCGTTCTCCAATTAACAGAGACTTTTTTTCAGATTATTTTTATGAAATTCTCATTTAATTAGCCATACAGCTGAGTCTCAAATGGCAGTTTTAAAAATATCCTTCCACTGATCAAGCAGCCAAATGGTCTTTCTGAGATATTTGCGGAACTGTAAACCTTCGTTTGTCTGCTAATTATCCCCTGGCTTAGACGCTGGGAATTTGAACACCTGACAATCAGGGGTTATTCACCGGACGCTTTCATTTTGCACCATGTGGAAAAATACAAATTTCACTTATTAGAACCTTCTCGTGGGCTTTTTTTTTTTTTCTTTAGTAAAGGATGTGGTTTATCAGGCGATTTTCAGATTCTGCACAATAGATGGGGAATTAAAATAATGAGTGACAAATAATAGAAAACAGGTGTGACAGGAGAAGTCAGGCAAGTATTCCACAGGCACCAAGCAAAATGGGAGGAAATACGTTTATAATACAATAACGAAGGCAAAAAAAAAGCAACCCACAATGAAATAAAATCAACAGTAAAATTTCAGTGAATGGGCCCTCCTGCTATACAGCTGGAAACCATTATGGTATTTAGCAACGAATACACAAATAAGCTTAAAATGCATTTTTGCCATATATTGATGGGCGTATGTAGCTGGGTAGAAGAATCCCTTAATCTCCCACTGAACTGCTGCCACATTTGCAAGGGAACGTGGCAGCTCGCCAGGAGGCCTCGTCTGCTCCGTGCTCTGCATGGTGCTGTGCTCCCCTGCTCCACGGGGTGGGCGAGCAGACGCAGCCCAGGGCAGAAGCTGCTGCCTGCATCCAGCAGGGTGAGCAGCAAAGGACCTGTCCTTTGCAGGAGAAGGGGAAAATGCATGGGTTTGTGATGTGGAGTTACAGGGCAAAATGAGCAGTTGGAGAGTAACGGTAACATTTTATGTTTCAGGTCTTAAGTGTAATTCTAGCAGAAGATAATAAGACTTCTGCTTGTGTCAGAGGTGGTTTTTGGATGCTGCTGGTGGTATGCCCAATCCGAGGGGACAGCTGATTCAGCCACTGTGCAGTGCTGCTGGCCTGTTACATCTGAGCAGCCCTCTGGAGCCTAGACAAGGTAAGAAGAAGTTAAGTGAGATCCTGCAGCGGCTCATTCAGCTGGGTGAGATGCATTTCAGCTTTGCAAGACCCCACAAACCATCCTCACCATTTCTAAGAAGCTCTGAGAAATGGTTCCAAGCCAGAACTCGGGTGGCGGGGAGAAGAGGCACTAACACAAGTGTAACGGGGAACTAAGGAAATAGCCTGCTGCTGCCATGGAAGTGGAGAGGATACCTCGGAGAGTCACTTCGGATTTCCAGCTGCAGGAATATGTTGTTATGAATCTCTATCAGAGCACTTGTAGTGCAGCTGGAGAGTATGTCTGACATTGCCTCCAGTGACCTTTTCAATACAGTCCAAGTGCTGCAGAGCTGGTGTTTCAAGAGGAATTCAAATCGAATTTACTCAGGCAGAAAGGATTGGCCTGGGGATAGCCCTACCACTCGCTTTGCGTTTCTCCTTGTCATTCTCATGGAAATTGCAATTCTTTATGCATGGTGCTTCTTCCTGTGCCGCAGCAAATGTGTCCCATTAAATGGCAGCAACAGTACTGTGCTTCTCCAAGAGGCCCCAGGATGAGGACACAGCAGTGGGGTGCTGAGGCTGTTTGCAGACGGTGCTGGCAGCAGCAGGAGTTGGAGGATGGAGGTGCAGACTTCAGCACAACCCATCTAAAGGTCACGGCATGGCAATGCGCCCTGGCACCCAAAATTGGCTGGTGCACATCAGGCACCCACTAAACGTGCAGCTCGTTGGCCTGTGATGTGAACAGCAGAAGTTTGTATAAGCTCCAGAGGCAGGTAGGGAAATGCGCAGGGGAGAAATTCACCTGGGGCTCTGCAAGACAGAGAGAGAGCCAGGCAGGAACAGCCAAGGAGCAACATTGCGGTGTGTAACACTCGTGGCTCTGAGGTGAGGTCCCTGCCTTGCTGCAGGCAAGCCGTGAGTGTTGGGGGGGAAATGTTGGTTTTCTTCCCGCGCTTTCCTGGCATGGTGTGATTATTTCATACATGTTTGTATGAGAGGTGCTTTAAAATGTAATTTCTTTGATTAATTTGGTGTCTGTATTTTCACTGTTTTGTTCGCTCCAATTTATGACAAAATTGAACAAAGTGGGTAACAAAATATAGCCCTGTCAGGCTCCTGTCTTCACGGATATAAAGAAAAATGTGAAACTGTCAGGCACACAAATGTGCCAAACCCCAAGGAAAATTATTACATTCTGCTTGACATTTACTTTAATTTTACAAAATTCTGTAATACCATTATAAATAATAATAATAAAAAGCGGCATGGAAATATTGTTAAGTGTATTTATTTTCATTTGCTAGCTTTGTGATTTATGGGTTTGATTTATTTTTTATTTTTTATTTATATTTTTTTCCAATCTCTGCATCAGAAGGGAGACGGAGCACCTGGAGCCCGGATGCTGCTGCCTGCACATCGTGCTGGCCAGGGGAAAGTGGTGAATGAGGCTGTGTCATCTGAGGAAATGTGCCCTGCTCATAACAGCAGGGGAGAGTAATGGGAATTCTCCACTTTCAAAAGCTCTGCAAGATTTTATTGAACCTCTGTGAAGTGCTTTCTGAGGGACAGGTAACAAGGTCAGATCCATAACTGCTATATGCCTATCCCACCCCAAGAAAGTTGGCTTACACCAGCTGAGGGTCTAACTGGAGGTGATCCACTGGTGCCAAGTGGGAATGGGAGACAGACACCCAAAAGAAGTGTGGGAAGTGAGCAATCCAACCCAGTTTATGACAAGTAATGAAAAGGAAGAGCGGAGCCTGGATTAAAATAGGCATGAGGTTGGGAGCCAGCAGCACTCAACTTCCTTGGATGAGGTGAGCTAAGGCAAATTTCTGTTTGAGAGAGATCCTACCAGGTGATGCTGAGGGCCTAATGCTCCTTACCACGCTCACATGAACACTGCCATTCTACCCTTTCTGTTCGATCAGGGCTGTTTTTTAGGGCCTATGGCCTTGAAGAAGCCCTGTAGCATGCAGTTTTTCATGTGAGGCAGTTTTTCATCTCAAGTGTTGGTGGAGGTCCGAGGAACACCAGGACTGGTTCTCACTCCTGCTGGGCCTCCAAGTAGTGTCTCACACCAAAGGCAATGGTAGAAGAAAACTATTTCAAGGCATCAAGGTGACTTTTCCTCTGACAGATTAAGACAAAGAAAAGTGTATGAAAATAATTGATGGGATGTAGCGAACGGAGCTGGCATCATTTACATACTGAAGTGACAGCGTGCGCCATTCACAGGCCCTTTCCACTATAAATAATGTTTTATAGTGACATAAAAAAGCCCTATTCATCTTTGGAAGTTAAAAAGGCACCATCTGAGTGGACAGCTGGCTTCTGGATTCCCCAAGAAAATGTTTACATAGGAGGAGACCCTGTGCTTTAGATAGGGATATATAACAGGGCTGATCCAGCCGTGGCTCTTCAGCTGATAAACTGCAGCACTTCAGGGGTCTCCAGCCCACATCTGCGCCTTCCACATTCGCCCGGAGGACTAGTGCCTTGCCTGGGGCACAGATATAACCCATGGGCAGAAACTTTGAGCAGTTGATGTTTGCTACCTACAGAATGGAAGTACATCCTTTTCCCTGTTGTCTCTCACTTCCAAGGTGCCTGGGTTTCCTTAATAGCCTCCTGCCTCCAGCTGTGCTGGGTTTGGAGGTGATTGCTCCCAGCTGCTCACTGCCATCTCTGCTGCTGGCAAAAACCCACCCTCACCTGTTCTTGTTGCAAAGAGCTCAGAATAAATAGCCACATATTGGGTGTCTGGCTTGTTTTGACAAGAGTGACTTAGAGAGTGCCCTATGGGGCAGAGGGCTGGGATGCTGAGGAGGTTGGACCCATGAGCAGATGTGCTGGTGACCTCTGCAGCTGGGTGAGGGTGCAGGAGTGAGTCCTTGTACATCTCCCAGCTGCCTGGCAGTCAACAGGGAGGAGAGTGGTGCTGCTGAATCACGTGGGAGTCTGTCCCAGCATTTGTTCTGAGAGTCTAGGTAAGCTCTGATGTCCTTGGATTATTGAACCATCAGGAACAGGTCCTGTTGAGGAGTAGGATGCTTCCAGAGAAAAAGGTTTTCCTGTGTGGCAAGAGGTTTCTGTAAGCTTGAGTGTTCCTTCTAGCTTGCAGGGTTTAATTTGTTCCTGCCTGTGAGGGATGGCTGCTGCAGGGAGCCAAACCCTGCTGAAGCGTGGAGGCTCCATTCATCTGAAACAAGAAAGGAAGGGCTGTCCTGGGGTTACTTCTTGTAAGAAAGCCATGTTTCAAGGAAAACACTGATGCTGAAAAGAAATCAAGTGTTTAGGCAGGCTCTGTAAGACAGCTCTGAGAGGAAGCCAGTGTGGTAGGTGTGCTCTGCAGGCCTTTGGTCAGCGCTGGTCAGGAGGAGTGGTAGCCCAGGAGCTCAGCATGGGAGGGCTGAGGGGTGAGCCTGAGGCCTCACCCTATGCCATGAGCTTCGGGCCCCACACAGCACAAAGTGGACACAGCCCTCACAGTGCCCTTGCCTCCAAAGCACAGACTGCTGCCATTTGACCCATAGGGCCAGCTCTGTCAGACCTTATCGCTGTTTGTGTGCAGAGAGCAACCTGTCAGTTCCCAAAGAAATCTTTATGTGGTTGTAACCTGGTGATGCCTGCTGTCTGATGAGGACAGTCTGCCTTCTATCTCCTCATGTGAGTTATTCCTGATAGAAGATGGGAAGGCTGCAGCCCTTCCAACACCTCAGTAGTTTGTTCCCGGTGGCCCCCAGCCAGGCCTCTGTCCCTCTGTGTCCCCTGGGCCGTGCTGCTGGGCCGTGGGGGCTGTCCCTGTGCAGCTGAGGCACCCCCAGGTTGCTCTCACTTTGCTCAGCTCCATGGGGCAGCCTGCAGGGCACGTCTCAGGATGTCTGCCTGGGGCCGTGTCCTTGGTTTGGCTGGAGTTATACCACAGCTCCTTCAGCTGCCAGCCCCAGGCTGGGCGCAGCAGTGGGGCTTTGGAGAGGAGCTGCTCCCTCCTCGAGGCCATTTGTTTAATGAAAGCGTGTGTGTGGTGCCCGAGAGCTCTCCGGCTCCATGTCCAGCAAGTCTGGGCCTCATCCTGTGTCCCTGTGTGTGCTCAATGGGTAGTGCTCTTCCTTCATAAACAACCATCCGTGCCTCTTCCCTCTGCCACCTCAGCCTCCCAGCTCCCCCAGCAAGGGGTTTCCGCTCAAGCCTCCCCTCTGTAAGGCCCTTCTGGGAAGCGAAACGTGCTGGCTGCTCAGGAAAGGCGTTATAATGGGCAGCTACCTATAGAGGAAGATGGATTGCCGAGTCAGAAATCAATCGAGAGGTTGTGATGGCATCATAAATCAGGGGATGCTGAGCGTTAAAAGAAACCCAACGTTTGATTTATAACTTGGCACAAGCCATTTATCGCCAGCCAAGATTTTCAGAAAGAGAAACATTTTTGTAAGCTTAATTTAACATTATTTTTTTCCACTATGCTAAGCGTTCCTGTAGGGTTTATTTTTCTCCCCCTGCAGATCCAGCACAATTCACAGATAAAAGCAGCCAAATGACATCGGAAGATTTTGTTTTGCTTTGAGATGCTTGACAGGTTTGCGCTCTCTTCCCCAATCCAGGGCCGTTCTCGGAGCCTCGACTCCTTCCTGATGTCTTTTAATATCTCTGCGTCTCGCGGGGAGTCAGAGGCTCTGCCGGTAGATGGCTGGTTCAAATCCAACTCACGCTGCTGAAAAGTATTATCAGTTAATCACTGCTCCGTTGCTTCTGTGAAGCTCATTTTGGTCTCAACAGCAGGTAGAGGCTCCTCACCTAAACCTGCCTCTGCCCTCCCCATTAGCCGTGTGGTTGGGGGTGGTTGTGGGAGAGGCTGAGCAATTAGCAGCCCTGGAAAGCATGATAGGATTTTCCCTCTGAGAGGTGGCGATTCAGTGGAGTGGATAAGTTTGTGCTGCTGCTGCCCAATGCTGTGATTGGGAAAACGCAGTCCCCGAGGCCATCAGTGGGCTTATCTGTACTTCCCTTCAGCATCCCCTCCGTCATGCTGCCATGCAGTGTGTGAGCAGCTGTCCGTGACTTGTTAGAAAGGCACAAGGGAAGGGACAAGCACAGGGGATGGGGGCTGCTGCGGGGATTTCTGTTCGTGTTGTGACATTGAGGTTCTGTGCCTGCAGGTGTGGGCAGTGCAGCAGTGGCTGTCTAACACTTAAGAAATGAAGCAGGAGGTGTGGGGTGGACGAGGCTGTGCCTGGGTTCCCACACCAGCTGAGCAGGAGTTGAGAATGCTGCTTGGGCCTGAAAGCACTGCACAGGCTGCTGTGGGCTGGTGTCTGGGTTGCCCTCAGGCTGCGGTGTCAGATGCCTTTCCCCAGCTGCCTGCTGGCATTTTTGGGAGGTCACAGAAAGCTGAGGACACACCACGCAGGCCTTGTGGCAATGGGAATTGAGCAAAGTGTGTGGGTTGCTGTGAGGACCACTGGAAAGGGGTCCTGGAAAACTGCAGCAAACCCACCAAGTCCACGCATAAGCCTGGTTGCTGGCCCTAGGCATTCCTGTTACGAGTTGTATGGCTGTGTTAATGCTACTGAAAGGTGTCTGCAGAACCCAGCCCTTGGCTGATGAGGAGAAATGCCCCGCTCTCGGCTTCCCAGGGGAGCTGAGCTGCGGAGGCCACGGCAAGGGGCTTGCATTCAGCGCTGGAGAAAGTTGCTGCTCTGGATCCCCCTCTGAGGTGGAGTGTTTTCCCCGTCATCTTGAGTTTCTCTAACTCAGTCCAGACTTGCTGGGAAATCTGCAAACCTCAGGGAAGCTCTTTGGCAAAGCTGATGTGCATTTTGCCTGGTTTCGGATTTCAAGTGAGAAAAAAAAGCCCAGCCCCATAATCTGCACAGTTCTTGTTTCAGCTAAGTTAAAATAATGACCAATTTGTACATGCCAGAACCACAGGATCACTCCTATAGCACTTTTGTTAGCGCTGTTTGTCCTTCTGATGGGCATATAATTGTGCTTTTTAATTGGAAGTATTTGTCAGTGCAAATACCCAAGGCCATGGTGTGAGCAGGCTCCTGTCTCAGCCCAACGTACATCTCTGACAGATCCACACTGGATCTGGGAATGAGGAAAGGATAAAAAGTGAGGCTCACCCAGTCCCCTTGGGGGCCCTGGTGAAAAAAATAAAATAAAAATAACACTTTCACGGTGAATATGATTCCCAATAGGTCTCCAGAGTGCTCTGTACGAGCTGTCACGCTGGTAAAGGCAGATCTAGCTCTGGTGATGTGCAGAGTGAATGGCCCATGGCAGGAGGCACCTGAAGCAAAATCAGGACAACCAAAGCATCCGATGTGGGCTCGTGTGGGGTCAGTGATGTACCACTTGCAGCTCTGCCAAGAAGTCCTGTGGCAAATTCCTCGCTGCTGGGTGTGCAGGGGCAAGGTGCTGTCGAGGGCCGGAGGGCTCCTGTGTTCCTCCAGAAGCCTTCCCGAGGACAAGGAGGTGTCTCTGCTGCACAGCAGCTCTGGGCCTTGCTGGATGAGGGCTGGTGTGGTGAGGGCAGCACCGTCCCGAGGCGGAGATGCCACCTGCTGTCTTTCTCCCCCTTGTGAAATGATGGATGCTCGGGCCAGCGCTAAAGACCTCCAGCAGCAGCCTGGCTTACGGGGATGCTGTTTGGCAGCATCGGACACGGTGGGCTCTGACTTCATTTTCAAGACCCCTTCTGCCTCTCAGCGCAATAGAAAGGCGAGCCTGCAGTACAGCAAGGATCCTAAATGGGTCAGACCAGCAGGCAGGCTCCAAAACAAACATCATTAACGCCAAACCACTGAACCATACAGCGTGAGCTGACAGTGCCTCTCCTGCCTGCTGACTCTGGCCACGCAGACGCCCTCAGCTTAAAGACACAGCCGGGGCCTGTGGGAGGGGAGGCTGAGATGCCAAAGCACCGGGCAGGGGTGGGAAATGAAGCGGGACATCTCCATCGGGATGCTCAGTGGGAGAGGAGCTGCTCTGCCTGTTGAGCTTCCTTCCCTGCCACTCTGAATCCTGCAGAAGTAAATCTAACCTAATGCAGGGTCTTCCTCTTCAGTTAGGCCAAAAAGGAGGATGTGGTGGCACCGCACCAGCTGTGTTGTTTCCTCTGTGTGCATCTGCACAGGGCAGGACCGGGCTGTGCCCCCTGCTCCCTCCTATGGGGCTCATGCATGTGCCGTGCTCGCTGTGGCCATGGGACAGGGAGTGTGGCCCCAGTGAGGAGAACCAAACCCCACGGTACTCAAATACTCTCCACTTACAAACGGTGCCTACGGTCCATTTAGCGTCGTATACACAAAGTAATATCGTTCATAGGCAAAATCCCGGGAGCCTCCCGGAATACAGAGAGGATCGGTGTTGCCTGGTTACCGGCGGTACGCTGGCACACTGAGATAAATCAAATCAATATGGCTCCAAATATTAAACCCTTTAAAATAAAATCAAAGCTGTGTCCATAATCCCCAGCGTTTCCTCTTTACCTCCTGACAAGGATGCTGTTGTGCTGGAGCTGTGCAGGAGACAAGGAAGGACCCAGTCGCCATGTAGGTTATTGTGGCTTCTCTTTTTCTTCCTCTTCCCCCCACCTCGATGAAGAGCAGGGGAGAGGTTTTGCCATCCCACTGGAGAGACTGGGGTGGAGGGAGGGGTTGTGCAGCCAGAGCTTTGTAATGGAGCTGGATGTAAGCAACTCCTTGCACCACCACGGCTGCGTGTCTGTGGTTGCTCACCGCTATGCACTGTGCAGCCCTTCCCAGCGCCTTCCCTGCCCCTGCGAGCAGGTGCTCAGCCTTGGGATGATGCAGGAGCAGCTGCAGCTCTTGTTTTCTGGGGCTTGTGGGGTGCTCTGGGCTAGACCTGTAAGCGCAGACCACAGGGCTATGGTGTGTGCTGTCTGCCAGTGCTACCTCTGCTGGGAAAATGTGGGGGAAACCCTACAAAATACAGCAGAGCAGCTCTGGTCCCCCAGAACCTCTCTAGGAAGCTCCTTGGCACTAGGGGGGCTCTGTTCACCTCAGGATTGACGTGCAGATGGGATGGCTTTGTGCTTGGAGAGGAGATTATGCAAGTCAATAACTTGAAGTATTTAAGTTCTGCTCTTAATTAAGCAGGAAAGTGAGGAAATCGTGTCCCGAGGATTGAAAGAGAACCAGGAAAGCATAGGAAAGGAAGCCCTGTCTGAGTCATTTACTGGAGTGAATAAAATCAGTGGGAAATGGTGATTGACCTAACTTGCTTATAGAAATTAATTTGCTGGTCCTGATGTTTCTCGTGGACACAGAGTGGCTGGGGAGGGCCTTGCTCTGGACTTGAATGCCAGCGATGTCTCGTGCCCACATGAGCGAGGAGGGCTCGGGGCCATGCTCGGGTCTCCAGGCTCAGTGGTGCACAGGCAGAGCAAGCTGGAGACCTTGGTGCACAGGCACGGCACTGAGATAAGTCACTCACTGGCATCTGAGAGCGGGTTAAGCTGTCTATATAGACACAGGCACTTGGAATTTGTATGACAGTAATACCTAGAGAAATCTGCCAGGATTAGATCACTTATATTAGATTTGGTAGATACGCATGTACAGACTCCTCTCCCAAAAGATTGTAATGCAAGCAGACAAGTCAAAATAATGGTGAGGAAAGAGGCTGTAACCTTACTCCAGCTTGTGTAAGGCAAAGTAAAACACAGTGAGGTTTAGTCACTGTCACACCAGGACAAAAAAGCATGGTTGAGCTGGGATCCAAACCCAGATTTTCTAAATCCCAGCCTGAGAATGAGCTCTGTCAGGACTGTTTGTAGGGATGTGCAAGCAGCAGGCTGGGCTGGCAACTTTGCTGGCACCAATTCTGGGGTCCCAGAGGCTGTGGGGCTGAGATAGCTCAGGACAGAGCCCGAACCCTTGCAGGCAGCACAGTGTGTGGGCACCTGAACTCATCACCTCACAAGCTGTGGCACAAGCAGATTTCCAGAAGAAGCTCATGCTTTCATCGCTCTCTTCCTCCCAAGGCTTTTGGAGATTACGGATAATCAGGAGACTCTTAGCAGGAGGGGAATGGAGGAGAATGAGACTTCCTGCCCCCACTCCTGAGCTGCAGCACCCCCTGCACTCTGCTTGCAGCAAACAGCCCAGTGGTGCCTCCAGACATGCAGGTCTTGGTCTCAAAGGGATGCTGGGCTGGTCCACTACTGTCCTGGAGGGGTTTTATTATAGAAGCAGTAAAAGGAAGGGGATGAGGCACTGGGACACCCCAGGTCAGTGGGGTGCTCCCCTTCTGCCTGATATCCCTGCCCTTTGTCTTCCCTCAGTGGAGCAGGATATTTGGAATTGCCAAATTCTTGTGGTTCTAACCACTCGATGGCTGTTTGAAAAGCACATGCTTTTTTCTTCTTTTTTTTTTTTTTTTCCAAGAGGTTCTCAAGAACAATCTCCCCTTTGTTTCCCTTGTTACTCAAAAATATGTTGGGGGAAAAAAAAAAAGGTAGTCTATGGCCATAATCCAAACCAGCTGACTTTTGGGGATAAACTTTGCCCTTCTACCTTTCCCCTGTGTCGTACAAAGCAGCACGCACCTTTTAGAAAAAGAAAAAAAAAAAAAAAAGGATAATTACACCTCATAGCTCCTGCTGCACTAAAGAGAAGGAGAAACAGTGCAGGCATGCACAGGCAGACTCGTTAGGATCCCTGTTCCTAGAGAACAGTGTCATGTAAGTTCTTGTAGATTTGGTTATCATTTAAAGCTCAAGAGGTCTCTTCCCACCCTTGTAGCTTCTTCATGCAAAGTATCTCTGGCTTGGAGAGGACCAGCGTTGTCAGAGGAATTCAAATGTTGGCTGTCCGAGCTGAGGTGAGAAAACACATTTGCACCCAGAGCAGCCAGCTGAAATTAGCAGGCAGCGGCGTGGGACGCGAGCAGAGAAATGATTACAGACTGATAAAGACAGATGTAAGACATAAACAGCTGAAATATGGCTTAAATATTTATAAGAACCCAGGGCTCTCTTACAAATGTTATGTTTGGGAAGGAGATTGGGTGATTTATAACCACTGTTTGCGCTGCTCTCTCTGCCTCTGGCTGTGTGCTCTGCGGTCTCCGCTAGCCTGGTTGTCCCCCGAGCCTGGTGGGACACAAACCTCAGGGTCCCATAAACATCACCCACCAGTGCAGCCGTGCCTGGCCGTGTCCACTGCAGGGGTGAGCCCCTCCCAGCTCAGCACAGGAGAATGCACAGGAGATCCCGTCCAGCATCACAGGGCTGACCCCACGGAGGGGGCTGTGGAGGGTTTCTGCTGTGTTTCACTGTTGTATTCACCGGCAGCACTCCCAGCTTTGCACTGCTCTGGCAGCAGTTTATAGTATGGAAAACTGCTGGGGTTGTTGGGTGGAGATCACAAGGGTGCCTCCTCCTCACCCAAACGTCTCTCCTCTTGTGTCCTCCAGCTAAAGCCCAGGATGGTCGTGGCACAAGGGTACTACAAGCCTTCTCCCAGCCCAGTTGGTGGTGTTTTAGGAGGATCTTCATCCCCGTTTGGTGTGAGTGGGGCAGGGTCAGAGCATGCAGGTGCGGAGGGCTGAGGTGGTGGAGCTGGTGGCACCCAGGGCCCAGCAGTGCGTTGGGAATGGGCAAATTTGGCAGGACAAAAAAGGGCGCAGGGCTGGTGGGAGAAACATGGGGGATGAAAAAGCTGAGGGGGCAGGACTGGGCTCTTGAAGCTGGGCAGGAGGAGCAGAGGGACAAATACCAGAGAGGAGATGGGGCTGGCAGGGATGGGGGTTTGCTGGGTCCTGCGGCTGTCCCAGGCCGGTGAAGCCTCGCTGCCAGGAGCTGTGGGTTCCCAGACGTACCCAAGCAGTTGTGGGGTCCCCACAGCCCCAGCTGGCCGAGGGCTCTGTCCCCACGGCACACACTGGGGTGCGACCTCCAGAGACAAAAGCTGCTGCTTGCTAACCAGGAGAGCGAGCTGCTGCTATTAATTATTAATGAAACCTCGCACACAGCATTAAAGACACGGGCAATTCTTTTTGGCAAGTGTAATGAAAAAATTAATTGAATAATCATTCCGTGTAAATAGATTTAGATAAGCTTCTCTCTTTTTTTTTCCTCTTTTCTTCCCCCTCCCCATACCTTCCACTTTCCAGCAGAGACAACTCTGTGATTTATTGCTGGGAGCCTCGTTGTAATTCAGAGCATCCTGCGGTGAGCGGTGGCCGTGCTGGCTGGGGCTGGGGGTTTCCTGGTTTCAGATGGCCTCGTTTAGGGGATGCAAAGTGGGGTGGGGTGGAGGGAGGCTGTTAAAAGTTAGTGCTACACTTTAAACGAAACTGAAATGCCTGGTTTGTAGGGTGCTGGTTTATTAATGGCTTGGAGGGCCTGATGCAGAGCCCCTGAGTCTGCCCAGCCTTTGGGGGGCGTTGGGTGTCTCCTGTGGTGTGGGTGCCTGTGGGAGACCCAGGCCAGCCCCCTGCTACTTTGGTGCTCCTGTGCTGTGGATGGATCCAGTGCTTGCCAGGGGTGCTCCTTGCAATTCCTGTTGTCAGATGTTGCTCAGGTGCCTACTGCCTTCATGCTTTAAATGCTGGTGAGGTGGGGGGAAGCGTGCCAAGCCTTCCACGTTTTTTTTTTTTTGCTCCCATCCCTTTAGGGAGTTTTATTTATTTATTTATTTTCCAAGGAATGAACTTGTGTTTGACCTTTGGAGCTCTGGCTGAGAGGGCAAGAGTTAAACAATGAATTCCTCCCAAAGGCAGAGGCCTGGGGCTGTGCCCTGTCCCTGTGAGCCCAGCCCTGCGTGGTGGGCCCTGGGGGCTCGGCTTCCCCAGCACGGCTGTGATGTGCTGACACATCCCTGGGGGCAGCCTGATGTCAGCCACGGGGCTGCGCTGGGATTTGCAGGAAAAATTCATTTCTCACCCCTCTGCCTTCCATAAAGTCAGCATTGACCCTCCTGGTGTGGTGAAGGTCCCCCTGTTCTGCGCTGTGTTCCCACCTCCTGCCCCATCTAGGTGGGTGCCAGCAGAGCAGCCTGCTGCTTGCTCTCCTGTCATTCAGTGAAAAATCCGTTCCATTAAATTTAATCTGGGAGTATCTTTGTGGTCACTGGCACAGCACTCAGCTCTCCCTAGCTAATCTGGGGTATTTAAAGTAGAAACCTCTCACCTGTACCCATGAAGCCGTTCAATTCTCATTACTCTGCAAAGTGGCACAGCTTTAGGAAAGAACCAGGAATATCTACATAGGGATTTATTATGGCTCTTAATTAACAATCCCATTGCTGTGATAACACCAAAACCCACCAGTCCCCCTTTCCCCACCCCTCTATAAGGCTCCGAGTTCGGACTCCCAGCGGTGCCGCAGCAGAACCAGGAGGAAGGGATTCAGCACCAGCCTGTGCCGAGCCTGTTCAGCACTTCCTGCATTTTGAGCCTTAACTTCACCAAATTCCTCCAGCTGTGCTCTGCCCTGTACCTAAGATGATGTCGAACAATTTTAGCTCTAACTCTGCATGCTTTTTGGGAGTAGTATCGTGCTTTTTGGGACTTGTATCGTGATATGTATTCTCTGTTCTCTGGATTCATGCTGCAGTTCAGCCCAGTGTCTCTCCTGGCAGTGGGTTTTCAGCTTTCTTGTCATTCCCTGCAGTTACAATTAACTTCAAACGGTGTCTTATCATTAAATCAACCTACATTGAAGCAGGCAATTGCCAAAGAGTCTGCTCTTCCTCTTATTCTGCACTTACCCAGCTGCTGCGTTGTCCCTTCTGCAGGGAAATAAAGGAAAAAGAGGAGAAATAAAAATTATCTGTAGAAATGAAGTGAGTGCCACATTGCTGCTTGCCTGTGTCCCAGCACCAGGAGTTTGTAGCAGGGTTTCTATGGCTTTAAATGGTACACCAAATACATTTTTTGCAGGTACTGAGTGGTGTGGCTGTCCCTGCGATGCCAGGAGAGCAGTGGGTCGCTGCCCAGGGGCTGAGCTGAACGCTGTAGGGTTTTTTGTTCAAGTGCCAAATATCATATTGTTAACAATGAGCCAAACCAAAATAATTATGATTGCATCTTGTTTGTGCTAAAGCACCCCTGCCCACCCCAGAGTTGTAAAGAAGTAGCTGGGAGCGTGGCCCTATCACAATCTGGAAGTAATGAGCAGTTGCTGCTTCTCTTGTAATCTTTCAGAGGTTTATAACCTGGGTCTTCTAATTTGCAACAGGCTGAAGCACAATGTGTAATTCCCCATTCCTGTGTAAGGCAATCTAAAATCAGCAAAAAATTGGTTGCTGGAGGGTTTGGTTCCTCCCCCCCTTTAAATACAGCTGGTGCTCAGCCTTTAGCTAGGCAGTTCCCGGTGCAGTACAGCATTACCTGCTGGAATTTGGCTCAAGTGCCTGTGGAAAGGGAAAAAAGTCCTTGGCCCATGAGAAAAAGGCTTTGCCTGCTGGGGTGAGTGCTCAGCCTGCCCTGCCAGCAGAGCCCTGGGGTTTTGTTCTGATTATACATCTCCAGCAACTCTGGACAAAACACGCAAAAATGCACCAGTAGGGGGTCAAAAGTAGGATGAGGGTCTACCTGTAACAGATGCTGTGTTTTTTCCTACAGAAGTTTTATTGCCCTCTCTTATGAAGCAGGTCTTTCAGGGTGTTTTAGGCTTGGTTCCATGTGGATGCCCTCTGCTAAAATGCTCATTACAAAATTTCGAGGCTGTATTTGAACTTCTAATTAATATATATATATATGAACAATATAGTGTTGTTCTCTTTTCCTCCTTCCTCCCCTCAATGCAAGAGCTGCTTCAGCCTCATATCTGTCCTCTGTATTGACTGGAAGCACTTTAGGACAGCTCGTATTTGTTTTATATGGAGCTTGCTTGTATCCAGCATTGCCTGACCCAAGTCAAGACGAGTCTTGCATGTGCCTATGAAGGAATGGAAAGGAGTGGTACGTGGGGAAAGGGAAAGCTTTAGAGGCTGGCTGCTGGACAAAATCTCTTTCAAGGTGGGAATGCCCCTTGCCATGTGAGCTCCCTTCCTGCCTACCTCCTCTTTCTGCTCCTTACAGACAAAACCAAACACGCAGGTGACCTTGCCAAAGGTCAGTTTGGGAAGAGGCTATCACTGCCTGACACTGGGGGGGGGCTGGGGGCTGGTCTGACTTCCAGGCTCCTAATGGTGAGTCTGATTAAACGAGCTTGTCATTCTGCTTAAATGCCATTTTTTCCTCTCTTCATCGTTTCTGAGGGTATGTGGGAGGGGAGGAGTTATCTCAACTTCTTAAGAAGCTGGGCTGGGTGAATTTTGTTTTCACACAGTTACTACCAATCCTTAAGCTCTGGATCTGTAGAGCACATCATGCCTCTAAATGTGTGTTGTTAAATAGCTTACTTGAGCCTCTGTGCTTCTATTTTCTCTGTCATAAAATAGGAATATTAGCCCATCTCACAGGGTTGTACTGGGCATGATTGATTGAAATCTCCACGCGAAAAGAGCTAGACATGCACAAAGTGTTATTGCAGAGGCAGTCAGAACCAGCTCCTTACCTGGCCAAGGGCTATTTTGCTTTGCTGGAGTTGGTGGATTTGTCACTTAGGCAGTTTAAATAAAAAAAATAAGAGGAAGCTGTCTGGGGTGAGCATGAGAAACCACTCGGCATGAGCAGGGGAAAGGCACTGCCTCCCCTCCTCGGTCCTCCCACAGCACTGAAACCTGCACTGCGCTCCCGTGAGCCTGCAAGGTGAGGCAGAGGCTGCTGCGTTTGCAGTGTCACATCATTTTTCCACAGTTGTTTATTTATCAGACATGTGCCTCCAATATAATTAATGTCATCCTTTGCCAGAGCTTCTGCAGAGGAAGAGGTTCAGTTGTGTGCTGGTGGCATGAGCTTAGGGAGGAGTACGTTGAAAATCCAAGCAGACAGGAGTGAGTAGCGAGATGGGGGGGTCATTCTTCACCTCCGTGGTGGTGTCTGCAGGAGATGCTGGGCTCCACAGCCAGCGTTGTCGCCCATGCTGTCATCTATTCATGGGAGTCTCCAAAAAAGAAAAGTTGAGGATGGGAGATGAAGTGCAGACACCACTGCGATGACACAGCTGGAGAAGTCCAACTCAGGGTGCAGATGGGGAACCTTCCTTGGTGCTGCTGTAGCTCCAGCTGTTCCTAGCATCCACCTAGCTCTGCAGCCATCTGTAACGTTGGGTAAAAGAAACCAGGATGGACTTGAGTTCAGGGATATGAAATACAGATGCTAGAGGCATGTGGAAGACTTGTACTGCTGGTGACCTTGGCCAAGCAAGTGTTGTGTTGTGGAGAGCTGTCAGGAGGTGCTGCAGTGCTCACAGCTCCCCAGGTGTCCTTGGAGCTGGCAAAGATCTGGGGGGAAGGGGGAACTTTGGTGTCATGAAGTGGAACTTGAGAACCAAAAGTGGCTGGAGTGGCTCTGGCAGTGGGTTCAGGTCCAAAGATCCCAGTGAAGTTCAAATCTCCTCTACAGACAAAGACACAGATGAAAGAGAAGCAAAAATGTCAAAGCTGTGATTGCATGATGCATC